AGGTCATGATCTCAGAATTTGTGAGTTCAAGCCCTATGTTGGGCTCTGTGCTTACAGTGAGAAGCCTGCTTGGAGTATATCTCTCTCCATCTCTCTCTGACCCCTCCCACTCATGCACTCTTTGTCAAAATAAACAAACTTAAAAAAAGATTACTAATGCTTTCTTTAGTACTTAGGAAATTATTGAAGTTGTATTTGTAAAATGGTCCCTTCCTCTTAGTGTAAAACACCTACTGAGTGTTTAGTTCATTGCATAAACTTAGTTTTAAATTCTGGAGATTCTGTACATCTCTGTATCTAATACTGTCTCTAAGCTGTGGCATTTGCCTATGATAGGTGAAAAGCAGGTGTTGTACCCACAGGGCAATAAAGAAACAGGTTTTGCTTAATTTTTGGATTAAGGTCAGTGGTCACCAAGCCAGGTCTAAAACTTAGGTTTCTGACTTTCTGTTATACTGCTTCTACCATTATGTTTGATAAATAAATCAATTTTATCCACATTCTGTAGGAGATTCTTAACCTTTTTAGAGGTACTTACCCAAGTACATCAGCTTAGTCTAGAGTATGTTAATAGTAATTTCAGCAATTCCATGTATTCAAGTGAATGTTGTTACTTTTTTTACTAAGAAAAAACATACTGAAGCCTTGCCATTATATGAAAGAGCATTAAAGATTTATGAAGACAGCCTGGGTCGGATGCATCCTCGAGTTGGAGAAACATTAAAGAATTTAGCTGTGCTTAGGTAAGAATATTTTCAGTTTCCTGATAACAGCCAAACTCCATTTTTAGAACACCTTTAATTTGATTTATCACAGAACAATACAGAATATTTAGTGCCGATTGTTTTTTCTTGGCCTTGAGGGGGTGAAGGGACTGTTTTGGGTTGATTTACTTCAAGATACTAAACTAAAGCAGTACCCAGAAGTGAAATGAAGGCTGCCTAATCTATGTTGTAGAGGAATGTTATCAGGTAAGTGGTAAAAGATGGTTTACATTCAAAGCTAACAGACTCTGGGGATAATATGGCCAATTTGCTGTCATCAAAACTAATTTACCATTAAGTGCGTGATGGTTTTGCTTTTTCTGTTTGTGTATCTCAGGATGCAGAGACTTCCCTTAGCAATATCAATGCATCCATTACAACATGGTCTTAATGGTGTCTGTATGAGGCACTGAGATATACTTCAGCAGTTCAGATAGAGAGTTTGAGTATTCTATTTTACTGGTCGGCCTGAGTGCATACACTGGAAATAAATAGAAAGGGGGAATGAGGAAACTTTTTACTCTGTATCCTATAAGGTCATATTCACAACTTGTTATTCTGTATCATATAAGGTCATTTCAAGTTGTTAAGAGGTTATATTCTCATTTTAACATTTTTTTCTCACAAAGCTATGAAGAAGGGGATTTTGAAAAAGCTGCTGAACTATACAAAAGGGCCATGGAAATAAAAGAAGCAGAAACATCACTTTTGGGTGGAAAAGCTCCTTCCCGACATTCATCAAGTGGAGACACATTTAGCTTACAAACAACCCATTCTCCTAATGTTTTCAGGGACCGAGGTAATGGCAATTAAAATTCATTGCAAATGCACTTTAGGACAAAATAATTAAGAAACATTTGGAACATTAGAATTTCAAACATAAAGAATTTATTTTTACTTTGTGTGATTTAACTGATACTTGGATGAAATTGCATTGGACTACATTGGAGTCATGATTGTGTGTTAGTTTAAAATAATTAACTTTCCTATTGTATGGGACCAATGGATGTGGACACATTAGAATCCTAAAATGACATGAAGAATTGATCATGATGAGTGGATTGGTCTGTTCAACAAGAGCTGGCAGAGCAGTAAAGACAAGGAGTTCAAGTCCATGATTCTTTGATTTCTCAGAGCTGCTTTTGGCCTCACCATTCCTGGTCATGCTTTTCAGCTGTAGCCTGGCCCAATTCTCTACCTCAAAGAAGTTTCAAAGAATAAAGGGATAATGTTTATCAAAGGTTTCAATTGTCTTTTGTAAAATGAACTAGTAGTAGTTGTCTCTGCTACCTTTCTAAAAATTCTGCCTTATTCATGAGCAGACTGGGCCAAGCCCTCTGTTGTCCATGCTGTCTACACTGTTCTGCTGTGTTAGATGTACCTGCATAATTTGAAGTCATTAGTGCAGTAACAGTCAAGCACTTAGCATTCTTTGACCTTCCCCAAGATAGAGACATGACAGTCTCTTCTTTTTTAAATGGCCTAAATTGATCTCTTCATTTACTCAAACTCAGATTAGTCTGTTCTATATAGAAAAAAAAAATGTTTTACAGGTTTTATAAATGTTGCCACATTTTGATTAAAACCATTTATGTATTTATATATAATAAAATCTTTAATTTTAATACTTGTAAGATTCCAACATGTTAATTATAGAGGTGAAAGACGTAATATCCATACTTCACTGTTCTAAAATAAAAGTGCAAGGTGCCTGGGTGGCTCAGTTGGTTGAGCGTCTGACTCTTGATTTCAGCTGAGGTCCTGATCTCATTGGTTCATGAGTTCGAGCCCACATCGGGTCCATGCACTGACACTGCAGAGCCTGCTTGGGACTCTCTCAAAATAAAACTTTTTTAAAGGGAAATTTAAAAATAAAAGTGAAATTTCAAGTTTTCTCACTCCAGTCTGTACCAAATTGAGTTTTGGTGACTTTATAAGGTTTTGGTTAGTGGTCTGTAAGGCTTGGCTATACACAGGGTGGTCCATGAACCAGGATGATCAGTACTAGCTGGGAGCTGATGAAAAATTAAGACTCCAGAGCCTCTCCTCAGACCGACTGAATCAAAATCTGCAGTTGGCTAGATCCCCAGATATTCATATGCACCTAAGTTTGAGAATCAATGGTCTGATTCTAAGGCACTATAGCTGTGACTTAGAAGAAATTAGGCAAGATCTTACAAAATGAACCTCCTTCTTCCACATTTTGTGAGAAGTTCAAAAAGAAAAAAGATAAAACATGACCAAAATACATCTTAATTAAACTGACAAATTACCATATACTACTGATTTCAGAATGAAGCTGTTAAGAGTTTAAAATTTGATTATCTTGAGGCACCTGGGATAATCAGTTGGTTAATTGATTAGTGAAAATGGTTTCCCTAATACTTTACAGAAAGAAATATGGAGGAAAATGTGATTGGGGTAGTTAAATCTTCCTTAATATTCTTATACGATTAGTACCTTTTTGTGTTGTTGTGGCTGTAGGTATTCAAGTAGTATTTCTATGCGAGGAAACCCATAATACGTTTTGTTTTTTTTTTTTTTTACTAAATAAAACATTTAAGCAGTACATAAATTAACTTCCCATTAACAATAGGGAAGGGAGTTGAGCATAATTGTTTTACTATAAAGCTTCTGTGCTAAGGCAAATTTGGAAGTGTGTTTCCTCCTTTCATATTTCTAGAAACAATAGTTTTTAGAAATCTGGTCAAGCACTGGTTTTATTTAGTAATGTAAAACTCAGTGTTGATTAATTTCTTGTTATCAGCTCCTGTAAGTTTTCATGGCAAACAGATTGTCCAAGGAGCAATCCAGGTAGCAAAAGATACCTTAGCAGAGTTTTTTCTGGTAAATAATCCATAATTATTTGTTAATGAAATATATTAGACAAAAAATTATATAACTTAGATCTAAGATTTGATGCAGTAAAAAACACCAGCAGTGTGAAATCCCATGTTAAAAGAACAAAGGTACATTCTAACTATTATACTTTATCAAACTATATAATTTTTAAATTATAAGCAGATCTTTACCAGGGGTCCCAAAGGAATGGGATTATTTTTGAAAGGCTATGTTTCTTTTTTGAAATTCTAAATATCTTGAGTAACTAGAAAAAAATATTTTACAGATGAATTCACTGATTTTTTTTTAATTGCAAATGACCTACCAAGCCAACATAAATAAGTTTCAAAAGCTAGAACAATCCTACTTTCCTAACCTCACTCTAAAACATAAGAATCACTGTATGATTCTAGAATCTCAAAACAAATATACTGACCATATCTGATTTTTGGAACTTTCTGAAATCAGTTTTTAGAACTTTATTTTACAAGGGAAGACTGCATTTTTCATCTTGTACTAACAGTTCTTCCCTAGAAATAAAGCTAGATATTACTATGTTCAAAGCAAAAAATCATCAAAATAGAAGATTAGCATAGCATAGTAACATCCTACTGATAATGGTTACCCATGCAGAGTTTTTTTTATTGGTCTCCAAACCATTGGGATTTATCCAAGGCTCTTTAAACTTTCATTATTTGTTTGCAACTCCAGAGAAAACAAGTTTATCAAATTATAATTTGGTGGTCATAATCAGGGCAACTGATTCTCTCCCAATGAATAAATAACACCTCAGTCATTACAGAGGTAACTTACGTCTCTTTTATGCCCACAATATAGGATAACTACCTAATTACCTAGAGAATCAAATTTAAATATTCTGAAGGTAGCCCCTATCATGGGTATAATATAGATGATCTTAGCCTAAATTTGTTCCTTGCTCCTCAAAATAAAGTACAGTGACTCCAGATATAGATGTCCCACAGATGCTATGATTTCTTTTCCTTGGTCAGTACAGAAATATAATAACTTGCACTTCCTGAAAGTATATTTCATTTGTTTATCTGTGAAGAAAGTTTCCTTTTGTTTGCCTTTGTCTTGTTTTTAATATATAACTTACAGGTTTACAAACTTACCCAATACTTTCTCAATACATTTCAGTTTGTAGTTCATCAGATAACATTTGAGAGGATATTTTTATTTTATAGGTTATTTTAATTTCACTGTTGGCCAAGTTAATAATAGTAGATAGTTTTCTTGTAGGGAGTGATTCTAAACACAATGAGGGGATGCCTGCTAACTCTAACCACTGTTGTACCTCCTGCCCTTTTCCTGTATTTGAGAAGCACATACTACTTTATTGTCCATGACCTCAGACAACAGACCACAAAGAATTCATGCAAAGAAAAGAAATATAGCATATTATTGGTCCTTTCTTCCCACCCTCCAAAAAGGCCGAAACATTTCAGTGGCTAAGTTTTAGTAACTGAAATGAAACATGAGTTTTAGGAGAGTTACTGATTTCATTGAAGGGAGAAACTGATAAGCAATACAGTACTTTGAACAAGTACAACAATTCTGTAAAGATTACGTATCAATTAATGTTGCCCTAAGCTTTATCAGTTTTTAAATTATTTTTTTAATTCCAAGGAAATTGGATTAAACTCAGGAAATAAAATATAGGTTAGTCCGTTATCTACATATTCTTCATCTTGGCCATGAGGTCTTCCAAGCTTTCACCAGAATCTTCCACAGTTACCTCAGCTACAGAATCTTCTTGCTATCAAATGAGGGAAACATAGTGGAAAAAATAACTGTCTAAAAGTCTTGATGCTTAGGGGTATATAATCACTAAGTTTTAATTATGTTCAACTAGTTTATAAAGTAAACTTTAATAAATATACCTTCTCATTTTTAGGAGAGACAGTTTTTTACTTTCCCCACCAATATTTTGACTTAAAAGGCAGTAATTTCAACATTACTAAGATCTCTACTGAAGTGGTATTTTTAAATGGTATTATGGCTAAAACTCAGTATAAAAAATGGTATCTTCATTTAATCAAAATCGACTTTACTTGCTCCATTAACAAGTCAACAACACTATTTTAGGTCTGTGTTTCAAACAGCTGAAAATGTACTGCATATTTCCACATTAACACTGAATACCTCTCTCACATGCCTTAACTCTGATAGCATAAAATATCCAAATTAGGAAATACTGCATTGGCATTATAAAATAGGATAAAGATGAAAGAAGGTAAGTAGACATTTCCTCTTCTCTGACATTTACTTATGGTAAGTCAGGTTTTAAATGTACCTTTTCAGGAATTGTATAGGCCACTGTAATTCCTTCAGGTAAATCAGGAACTGGACCTGAAGAATTTTTCAGTTCCTCTTCTGAAATCTCAGACACCAACTCAATACCTATAGAGTTAAATGTGATATTACAAGAGTTTTCAAGGAAATTTAATTATTCAGAGTTTGGATAATTTAATTATAATGATATTCCCTCCCATAAGAGATTTTGTTTCACGCTGCCATTTCAATATATGAAAGAATTCCTACCCCACTCATTGTCTTCATGTATTATCTCTTCCTCCTCTTGAACAACCTCCTGTTTGGGCAGTGCTGCTACCTTTTTCTGTAGAAATCAAACAGTATCAAAGTATTCTTACTCATTCTCAGGCCTCTAAAGCATTAATCAAAAATGCAGACAGGCTTTTTATTTTACCAAAAGCAGAAAAGGATTTCAAACAAACTGTTTCACTTTTGTAGCAAAGTGAATTTAATTTTTTACTAACATTTACCCCCTAGAGATACAATAAATAAAAATCTAGAATCCATTTTTCTTATTTTTCAAATCTAAGTAATTGTTTTAACTTATTGTCCAAACAGTATGACCTCTCGTACATTCTGATGGATTGATGTATACCTTGTATTCTTCCTGTTGCTTCCTGCAATTTCTGTCATCACATTGAGGATTTGGCTTCATGGACATAGTAGGGAAAAAATCCTGCATTGCATTATATCCAAGGTAAAAACTAACAGTACCAAAATTTAACAGAAACCTAGAAAAACAAATCAAAGTACACTTAGATAAATAAAACATAAAAGAACTAAATTTTTAAAAAAATGACCTTGAAGTACATAATAATTTTTGTAATAAGCAATAGTACTTAAAGTACTGTTGTCAGATTAAAAGGTGGAGAAGAATCCCTGAGATTGGTACTAAATCTAACTACTTTTTAAAACTTTTATATATACATATATATACGTATATATATATATATCTTAGTATGCAATTTACAATCTTAAATGTACAGCTCAATGAAATTTTCCGAAAATCCTGACCCATGTAATCACTACCAGATCAAAATACAGAACATTTCCAATATGCCCTAAAGCTCTCGTGTTCCCTAACTGTCCTAATCTGATTCCTTTTAGAAGCTCATAAAGAGAGGAAAAATCACATACAAAATATAAACAACAGGAAAAACATTTGCACTGAGTGCACAAGACAAAAAACTGAGTCAATGATCTGAAGCAGACAATTCATAGAAAACTCTTAAGTGCTCACCCCTTTTCATGAATACCTGAAAATTAAAATACCCATATTTTACCTATCATTTGACAAAGATTAAAATGTCTGATGAGGGGCGCCTGGGTGGCTCAGTTGGTTAAGCATCCGACTTCGGCTCAGGTCATGATCTCACAGTCCATGGGTTCGAGCCCTGCATCAGGCTCTGTGCTTACAGCTCAGAGCCTGGAGCCTGCTTCGGATTCTGTGTCTCCCTCTCTCTCTCTGTCCCTCCCTTGCTCACTCTCTGTCTCTCAAAATAAAGACATTAAAAAAATAAATAAATTTTTAAAAATAAATAAAAAGTTTGATGATACCCAATGTTATGAACTGGTATGGGTGAAGCAGGTATTCCTACCCTGTGATAGAAATGTACATCCTTCTGAAGGAGAAATTTAGTAATATCTGTCAAAATAAATACTGCATAAACTCAGAAATTCCACTTCTAAAAATTCGTATCTACAAAAATCTAACTTACAGATATATGTAAGATGCTGTTTGCAGCATTTTTGGTTTTTTGCAGCCTTGTTAATACCATCAAAAAAAAATCTAAGTAGCTTAAATGTCCATCCATAGGGGGATGGCTAAATAGGACACATCCTTAAAAGAATAGTTTATAGCCATGATTTTTCCCCCTCCCTTTTTGTAACATACTCTAAAATATTTTGTTTGGATAGGGCCTACTGAAGTTTTTATAGGCTATTATTGCTCTTATATAAAATAGCCCTAGACCCTTGCCTTTAGAGTTCTTAGGTATGCTTTTTACAATTTCTTTGCTGGTAGCTGACACTTCTGATATTAGGGTACCTCCCTATATCGTGTGCAGTTTGTTCTTATTATACTGGAAGGTTTGGAAACTAACTAAGCTTTTTAAAATTGTAAAGTAAGAAAAAAATGGCCTGAGGAAGGAAACACCTAAAGGGTTTCTCCTCTTAATAAAATGTGAGTTGATTCAAAATCTCTTTGACATTAATCTTAGCTGCAAAGAAACCTTTGTCCTTTTTCACTATAGTTTAGATGGTGTGGTGGCTGAGTATCTTTTTTTCTGAGCTCAGAGGTATTGTCCTCTTAATGTTCAATCACATTCGTATTATTTTTAGTAAGAGTTAAGTAAATAAGAGTGTTTACGTTCTTTGGTCAAACCTAAAGAGATTTAAATCATTTGGTTAATACTTCATAAACAAATACACCAGTACCACTGTACCATTTAATAAGACCTATTCTAAATGCACAGAGTAACACAGATGTATGTATATTAATATGTATGTTTAAATTAGATATACTAAATATACATGTAAATTTAAAGTACTTAATATATTATACATATATAAAAACCATACATAAAGCTGTACTTTAAAAAACTAAATATGTAGCTGGTAATTTTAGTATTTGAAATGATTTATGAAATCTATTTCTATCAAAAGCAAACAAGACTATTCAGAAAAATTAGCCCTCACTCACTTTAACACATTTTGTACCAAGATCCCAGCAACCACTCCCATAGTGGTAGGAAGACTGGCTGCACAAACACCTTCTCGTTTCAGAGTCTTTTCGTCAATATTTGCAGCAACTACAAGTGGGGGAGCACACTACATGAAAAAGAATGAAAGAAAATATATTTCAAAATGAAAGGGAAAAAGATAACATGCTCAGAATAGTATTGTCACATTCAAAGTTTTTTTTCTTTGAATTATAATACATTTTCAATACAAAATACATTTTCAATACTTTAGTTAATAAGCCAAAATGAGTCATGCATACCGCAAAACAAGCAGATTCTCCAGGAATTATGAGCTGTATATGCCCAGAAACTGCATTTTCACTGACCCCAGACTCCATCCATGTTTGCCCAAGTTCATTACAAGCCTTAGGAGAAACAGATGAAAACATTAGAACAAAAACAATAAGTAATTTATCAAAAGTTATTTCATGAAAAATTGGGGCTTAACTAAATGGATTACCAAATGGTTTTTTAAATGTTTCAAAAGAGGAAAGTTATCAATAATGGAATTCCTGGTCAACTGCCACTCTCTATTTAAAAACAAAAAGTAAACTGGGGACACTTGGATGCCTCAGTGGGTCGAGTGTCCCACTCTTGATTTCTCAGCTCAGGTCATGATACAAGGGTCATGGAACTGAGCTCCATCTCAGGCTTCATGCTGAGCATGGAGCCTTAAGATTCTCTCTCCCTCTCCCTCCACTCCCCCTGCCCTCCCCCACCCCAACCCCACTCTAAATTTTTTAAACATTTTTTTAAGTAAACTGACAGCATTCAAAGCAGCCAATAAATATTTCATTAAATTGAGCCATTTAAATTTACTGATTTCTTATTAATGTAAAAATTCATTTTTCTAAAATAATCTCAGTAACAAAAAACTGCAAAATATCTTCTGAAAAGTTGAAAACACAGCAATTCAAAAGAATTGTTTTATTTCTGAGAAAACAGGTTTGTAAGCAATTTATACACATTTTTATCTTTACTTAAAAAATAAAGTAACAAAAATTAAAACCAATGTTAACATAGAATACAACATTATAAGACAGTCATTTATTTTTAAAATTGTACATCAGAAGTATCTACTATTTATAGTTTCCTCTACTGGCATAACAAAGAATAGGATACTGAAACATTAGCCACACTAGCAAAGCTAGACAGGTCCCACAGCTATTAGAATAAAACTTTTTTTAATGCTTACTTATTTTGAAAGAGAGAGGACAAGCAAGGGAGGGGCAGAAAGAGAGGGAAAGAGAGGATCCTAAGCAGACCTCACACTGTCAGCACAGAGTCTCACGTGGGGCTCAAAGTTACAAACCGTGAGATTATGACCTTAGCTGAAATCAAGAGTGGACACTTAACCAACTGAGCTGCCTAGGCACCTTAGAATAAATTTTAAAAGTAGGCTAAGAGAACATTAAAAATTAATGAAACACATTATAAAAGGGTTTAAATACACAACTATACAAGAAAACAGATGAATCAATGAGTGTAACATCTTATACAACGGGAATACTCACTGTATTTATTGTCATTCGAGCTTCAAAATTGTCCACACAGCTAAGAACTAGGTCAACAGGTTTTCCCTCTTGTAATCCACCATTACTAGGTAAAGAAAATGAATTTTATTTGGGGGAAAAAATCAGGACACAAAACAAACTCTAATTATGACTTTGTTCAGTCACACATTTATGCTTTTGATAAATGTTTGAGTGCAGTTATGACACAGTAATGTTAAAGATCCAGTACGTACTGAGTAACTGATATGTATATAACATCAACACTACAGTGCTTCTCACAGAAGACACAAGAAGTATAAAGTCTGTTCGCAAAAGTTACCATTCCCCTATCAGCTTTCACAGACTTTTATTTTTCACTCAGTTCACTGAATTGAATATAATTCAGTATCTCAGTGATGTTACAGTCTGCAGAAAACCACCTTCATATAGAAATATAATCTAGAACACAGAACTTATAATTGAGGACCCCTTGTTATATCATAACAACAGAGTTTTTGGGTCTTGATTTTTTATTGTTGTTACTATTGTTTTTTGGACAATATTTACTTTTTACTGAGTTACTAACCCACAAAAATTAACTATTCAAAAACAAAAATATGTATCGATAAACTATTTAAAAATATGTATATATATATCAAATCTACCAACTCACTGAATCAGTAGATTCTGAATCTACTGATCAGTAGATTCTTTAATTTTTTAAAAAAAAATTTTAATATTTATTTTTGAGAGAGAGACAGAAACAGAGCATGAGCAAGGGAGGGCAGAGAGAGGGAGACACAGAATCTGAAGCAGGCTCCAGGCTCTGAGTTGTCAGCACAGAGCCTGACAAAGGGCTTGAACGCATGAACCAGGAGATCATGACCTGAGCCAAAGTCGGACACTTAACTCACTGAGCCACCCAGGGCCCCAACATCAATAGATTTTCTAATAATACTTATTTAACTGAGCTGGACACTGTACAAAACATTCACAGTAAAATTTTACCTTATCCTATCCATGAAATGTTGAAAGTTTTCTACTGTGGTTATATTGTAGTTGTGTACTTCAAAAAGAACATCTGGATTAATGTTCCTAAGAGGGAAAAAGGGAATGATTATAAAAACTATTAGTAGGAATATTAAACAGGAAAAAGAACTGAAAAAGTGAAAGATCATTTAGCACAGGTAAGAAAAATGGAATTCAGGCTATTCAAAGTAAATCCAAAGTCCTCTTCTACCTCATTTGCCCCACTAGGAGGACTATGTTGATTGCCGGATAACAGAAATGTTCCCACCATCTGTGTGCTGGGAATTAAGTCTTCATCAACTAGGTGAGCTGTACCCCTTCCTGACAAAAGAACTCCTTTGTTCCTTATTTAATTCAGTGCAAGATGTTTGGAGCCACAAAGAAACTTCCTAGAATAAGGGTTGGCAAAGTATGGCCCTGGGGCCAAATCTGGCCTATTTTTAGGAAGCCTGCAAGCTAAGAACGGTTTTTACATTTTTAAATGGTGGCAGGAGAAAAAGAACAGAACAATATTTCATAACATGCTAAAATTACATGGAATTTAACCTTCAGAGTCCATAAACAAAGTTTTATCAGAGCACAGCCATGTTCATTCATTTTTGTGTTGCCTATAGCTGCCATCACACTACAGCTACATGGTTTGAGGGTAGGTAGTTTCATAGTTGGCCCTCAAAGCCTAAAATGTTTACTATCTAGCACTATACTGAAAAAGGTTGCCAACACAGTTCCAAGAGGTAAGAGAATTCATGTAAGTAAAACCTGCATTTTTATAGAGAAAAATTCATGCATTAGGTTAACTTATACAAAATATACAAACTAAGATGTCACTAAATATAGTCTTTAATCACTGTTCCATTTACCTCAAAGTATATTCTGCTGCTTGAACTTTACTTAATCCTGCTTGGTGAGGTTGGAAGAAAAGTCTATTCATATTGGCCAGTTCCACCTTGTCATAGTCAAAGAGTAGCAACTAAAATGAAAATAGTGGTATTTTGATGAAAAAATACCAAAAAACAAAAAAAATAACAAAGAATAAACTAGTGGACTTTACATTTGATGGGTTTAACAGGTTAACAGCAATAATACTAGCTAACTCTAAAATACTAAGTGCCTTATATTAACTCATTTAATGCTCACATGAGGTAAGTACATGGGTACTTTAATTCCCTTCATAAATGAGACAACCACAGCACATGCTCAAAAGCATCACTCAGCTAATATATGCAGAAAGGCAATTCAAATTCAGGCATTCTCAATCCAGCATCTGCACCCTAACCATAACACTTACTGCCTCTCCATATGATCCACTGAGAAATTAATGTTTATTCCATTTCATTCCGATTGTTTACTAAAGGCCAAGAACACATTAGATAAATGATTTTTAAAATAAGATTTTAAAAATACTGTATCTTAAAATACTGTTATCTTAAAACTATAGTGTTAATATGACTCCTTTTGTGACTATAACACCATCCATACCCATAGCTAAACCATTATTCCAAATAGAATTACTAAACAGGAAGTTGTTTCCTGCTGTATATTTAGGCATGACAGCATTTCTCTCTCTCTCTCTCTCTCTCTCTCTCTCTCTCACAAACACACACACACAGACGCACACTCCCCTTTTTAAAGATCCCATTTCCTATCAGTAAGAACAGGTTGCATCCAAAGATTTCCAAGTTCTCTTTCTTTTTTTTTTTTAATTTTTTTTTTTAATGTTTTATTTATTTCTAGGAGAGAGAGAGAGAGAGACAGCGTGAGCAGGGGAGGGTCAGAGAGAGAGGGAGTCACAGACTGAAGCAGGCTCCAGGCTCTGAGCTGGCAGTCAGCACAGAGCCCGACGCGAGGCTCGAACCCACGAACCGCGAGATCATGACCTAAGCGAAAGTCGGACGCATAACCGAATAAGCCACCCAGGCGCCCCATCCAAGGTCTCTTTCTTAATCTAAAATTCTGTGACTTCTTAATACAATTCTCAGCATCCTAAATTTAGTAACAAAAAGAGGGGAAAGGCGAGGACAGGGCGAGCACAGATGCAAGGCCTACAGCGGTGGCTAAGGGGGACTGTGGCTTGTGGTGCAGCTGTCCTATGCATGGCTAAAATTACAAAAAAAAGGGGGGGAGGGTCTTATTAACAACAAAATTAACATCCCACAGAACACCTAGGTAACCCTTAGTATCTTGCTAGAAAATATATCACCTCTGTCCCCTGTGGTAATTTTCTGACCCGACTTAAGAGTCTCCAAAATAAGTTTCATTTAGCTCATTCAACAGTATTTATTCAGTCAGGCCAAGTATTAAATTGACTCTTCAGCCTCATAGCTGGTTTATAAGATACAGGCAGGAAACCCCAGATTTGGGGATAGGAGACTGAGTTGTAGCTCTGTCACTAATAAGCTCTTATCATGGATAAGTCACTCACTTTTTAGACCTGTATCCTCAATAAAGCAGGTAATCTAAATCTGATGATCCAAGTCACCACAAAGTATTCCAGAAACTTTCAGGGGTGAGAAGTGGGATCTAAGTCTCCAATCCTCCACTTCCCTACCTAACTCCATGAATTAGCTTCTTGTTTATCTATTTTACATACTGGAAAGAATTCTAAAACTCACCTATGTACATCCTTGAGTGTACATCCAAACTTGAGTATACACTGGCCATCTCTTAAAAAAATACTGATGTCTGGGTCCCATCTCCAGAGATACTCATTCTATTCCAGTTTGGACATCAAAATTTTGAACTTCGTAGGTGATTCTAATTACAGTAGTATTTGATAACTACTGTTCTAGATCCTTGCTACTCAAAACATGGCCTGGGCTAGCAGCCCATCAGCATTACCTGGATCTCCTCAGAAATACAGGCGCACTGTCTCAAGTTTAATGTGCGTGTGAATCATCTGGAGATTTGTTAAAATACAGATTCTGGGGGCACCTGGGTGGCTTAGTTGGTTAAGTGTCCAGCTTTGGCTCAGGTCATGATCTCACGGTTCATGGGTTCAAGCCTTGTGTCGGGCTCTATGCTAAGAGCTAGCTCAGAGCCTGGAGCCTGTTTCAGATTCTGTGTTTCCTTCTCTCTCTGACCCTCCGCTGCTCATGCGGTCTCTCTCTCACTCTCAGAAGTAAATAAAACATAAAAAAATAAAATAAAATACAGATTCTGAGTCTTCACATCTGGAAGGGTCTGGAAGTCTTCAGTTCTAACAAGCTCCCAGGTGATGATGATGCTACTAATTTGGACACCAGCCTGAGTAGCAAGGATCTAGCCATGTTTTTTGTTTTAAGTTTATTTGAGAGAGAGAGAGAGGGCAGCATGAGCCGGGAAGGGGCAGCGAGAGATGGAGTGAGAGAATCTTAAGCAAGCTCTGCACTGTCAGCACACGGAGCCCAACTCAAGGCTCAATCTCAAAACCATGAGATCATGACTTGACCCAAAATCAAGAGTCAAACACTTACCTAGCCACCCAGGTGCCCTAAGGATCTAGTAGTTCTTAAAGTCTATCCTCCTCCTACCCCGACTAGGAACATCAGAATCACCTGGGAATTTGTTTGAAATTCAAATTCCACTCAAAACCTCAAGAATCAAAACCACCAGGGTTGGGTCTGGCAATCTAGGTTTTAAGAAGCCTTCCAAGAGATTCTGATGCACACTCAAACCTTAGAAACTCAGTCTCTGGGATATCTACTATCCTAGGTCAGTCTGCCAGGGTTCTTATGTCAGCTAAAAGCTGACTGGCTTTTGTAAACCTCTTGAAAGACTTTAAAATGTCTAAATAAACTTTTTTGGTATTTTTGTGTTGCCTTTTCTATATTGATAAATGTCACCTTTGAAACCACTTTCTCTTAAGAATTTGGAACATGGGGGGCACCTGGGTGGCTCTGTCAGTTAAGCATCCAACTCTTGATTTTGGCTCAAGTTCATGGTCTCATGAACCCAGCCCCACCTCAGCTCTGCTCTGCGCCTGACTCAACCTAGAGCATTCTCCAGTTCGATTCCAAGTGTAAGAGGGGTATTTATTTTGTAACTTAAAGTTTTTCTTTTTTAATACTCCTTACCTATCTTACCCAGCCTCCCAACCCACCTCCCCTCTGGCAACCACCAGTTTTCTGTATTTAACAGATTTGTTTGTTTTCTTTATTAAATTATACATAGAAGTGAAATCATATAGTATTTGTCCATCAATGTTGTTATGAACGGCAAGATTTCATTCTTTTATAAGGCTAATATTCCATTTTACACTCACACACCCTACAGCTTCTTTATTCATTCATCTATGTAGGGACACTTGGGCTGCTTCCATTATCTTGACTATTGTAAATAAAGCTGTTGTTAACACAGGGTGTATATATATCTTTAAAAAAAATTTTTTTTTAAGTTTATTTCTGAGAGAGAGAGACAGCATGAATAGGGGAGAGTCAGAGAGAGGGGGAGACACAAAATCTGAAGCAGGCTCCAGGCTCTGAGCTAGCTGTCAGCACAGAGCCCGACATGGGGCTCAAACCCACGAACCGTGAGATCATGACCTGAGCTGAAGTCAGACGCTCAACCGACTGAGGCACCCAGGCACCCTTATCTTTTCAAGTTATTTTTCTTTGGGTAAAAAATAAGAAATAAATGAAAAGTATAGCATAGGGGATATAGTCAGTAATATTGTAATAAGGTTGTATGGTGACAGCTGTTGACTATACTTATGATAAAGAGTAATGTGCTAAATCACTATGTTGTACACCTAAAATTAATACAATGCTGCCCACTAAAATGTTTAAAAATATTTCTGAATAATAAAAAGTGACTATTCTTTGGTAAAAAAAAAAGTAAGAAAGCTACATGCTTTCTAGTTCATCTTGTATAAAGCATGTTTAAAAATATTTGTTAGGGGAGCCTGAGTGACTCAGTCAGTTGAGCATACAACTTTGCCTCAGGTCATCATCTTGTAGTTGGTGCGTTTAAGCCCTGCTTTGGGTTCTGTGCTGACAGCTCAGAATCTGGAGTCTGCTTCAGTTTCTAGGTCTCCCTCTCTCTCTGACCATTGCCCACTCACACACTGTCTCTCTCTCTCTCTCTCTCTCAAAAAAAAATAAAAAACATTTAAAAAATAATATTTGTTAGGAGTCCCTGGTTGGCTCAGTCAGTTGAGTATTCAACTCTTGATTTCTGCTCATGATCTCATGATTTGTAGGATTGAGTACCGCATTATGCTCTATGCTGAAAGCATGGGGCCTGCTTGGGATTCTCTGTCTCTCTCTCTGCCCTTCCCTTGCTTGGATGCTCGCTTGCGCGCGCGCACTTTCTCTCTCTCCCCCTCTCTCAAAATACATAAAGTTAAAAAAAATTATTTGTTAGATGTTTTTGTTTCACACATTATCAATTTAACCACCTTCGTGTCAAAGCTCTGTATCTGAAACACTTAAGTCCAAATTGTAACATATTACCTCTAACAAAAAATTACTGAAGACAATTTAGATATTCCTTGTTTTATTAGCATTAATATCACCTTTCATTTGGGTAGAGTTTTTTTTTTTTTTTTTTTTTTGAGAGAGAGGAGGGAGCCCACGTGAGCGGGGTGGGGGGGTGCTAGGGAGAGAGAGAGAGAATCACAGGCAGGCTCCACACCGTCAGAGAGGAGCCCGATGTGGAGCTCGAACCCATGAACTGTGAGATCATGACCTGAGCTGAAATAAGAGTCAGACACTTAACGACGGAGCCACCCAGGCACCCCTGGGTATGGTTAAGTCTTAACTCCTTTGGGTAGAAAGAACAATCTGAATAAGAACACCACAAATCAGTAAACTATTAGCAATGAGGGAAAAGTTCCTAATTTGTACCTGATTCACTCCATAAGTGAGTAGGTTCCCTACGTGACAAGCAAAGAGAAATGTTTTTACCTTACCAATGCCACATCTTGTCAGCATTTCAGCAGTCACACTACCAACTCCACCAACACCTACTATTGCTACAGCAAAGGTACGGATTTTCTGTGAAATGCAAAATTACGTATTTGTTGGTTAACTTTTCATCAAAAATGTGAGAAATTATTTTCATGTACTGAAATCATCTTTGAAAGCTTGGAAAGGTTTATCATACCTCATAGTCGCTTACAATTCCCATTCGTTTCAATGCCATCAGGCGGCTTAAAACAAAAAAAGTTTTAAATTAAAATCTTTTAATATGTATATAGGTAAACATACAACATCACAGAAAAACACAAACTTAATCATAACTAATGCTTTAAAAGAAATCTTTCAGCTGGCTTTTACGAAGTGAGACCAGATCACCCAGGAAGCTTTAAAACCACCTGTGCTTGAATAGCCTTCCAAGTGTAGCCTATGCAACAAGATTTTTTTTAACACACCTGAGACGTTCTAATGGGCAGTCAAGGTCAAAGAAAACACTTGACTTAAAATTTAAGGGTCTAGATGAAGCAGGTCAAAGTAAAATTTCAACATTCTCCCATGCTTTCTTACCATATGTATTTAACACTCAGATTTAATGTTTAACATGAGTTGTCTCTGCCCAAAATGGATGATGTCGACTTTTAGTAAGCACCTACTGTATGCCAAGAACTCTAAAAGGTACTTTACCTACTGTTGGTCTGCTGTTTTGTTTTTTTATATATTTAAACCCATATACATAAAATTCCCATTCGTTTACACTATATTACAAATAGTTCTACTAGGCTTGCTATAATTCTGCAAGCTTCTGGCCCCCACTCCCCTTTTCCTCTCCTTCCTCATTTTCAACTCTTACTAACACATCTCTAAATAGCATGCTAACGTTACTTCTGGATTTTCCGTTTTAGGTATTATGTGAATATTTCACTCGTTCCATAGGTCCCTACTAAACACAAATATCTGCCATAGTTGCTCAGCTACTAAGAATTGGGATTTGAATCCCATCAATCTGTTTCTAGAGACCTTCCTCAACCAGGCTCCACACTGTCAGCACAGAGCCCTACAGGCCTCGAACCCACGAACCGTGAGATCATGACCTGGGCCTAAGTCGGACGCTTAACCGACTGAGCCACCCAGGCGCCCCTAGAGACCTTCCTCTTAACCCCTGCACTGTATCGAGCTGGCTAAAAGCTTTAAAACCGAAGCTAATTTTGCTTTCCCACCACGCCCCCAACTTTGAAATTTGAAAGGCCTTTAGGAAATTCGAAGTTTATGGTCAGCGGATTTTGTATTTAATATCTTTTGAAAGTTATTACTATCAGTTTTATGCAGAACGAGGCAGATTAACAGCAGAGGCAAGGGCGTCAGGAAACCAGCCGCGTGTCCTCCGCGGGCCGGGGAGCAGCACCATATGGCTGACTCGCTTGGGTTTTGTTTTTTAAGTGGAAGAATACCTTCCGCGCAGTACTGCGACTTGAACTCGAGCGTTTGGGAGCAGGACCAAAGAAGAGGGAGGTGGGAGGCGGCGGGACTGCATAGGAGGGGAGCGCCTCACTCCTGACTACCCGGAGATCTCGACCTCGCCCCCTCGCCGGCCTCCCACCCGCGCCGCAGGTCACCTGTAGGGGTTCGAGTCCACCACCTCCGGGCTCATCTTCTCGATGCGGACCCTGCCGCCGCCTCCGTCGCCGCCCCCCACGGCCCGCCGACTCCTCTCCTGTGCCAGTTCCCGCTCCAGCTCCTCCACCCGCTGCCGCAGCCGCTCCACAGACCCGGCCATGGCTGGGACGCCGGCCGCCAACGCTCCCAGCCCCGGCCTTCGCCGTCGCCGCCGCCCCACGCTGCTAGGCCTGCAGGCCCCGCGAGGGGTCCGTGAGGAGGCACCTAGCCGCCGCCTCCCTCGCCCGGAACCCTGGGGAAGTGCTCCCACAGTCGCACAGACGACACGTCGCCGCCGCTCCAGCGGTCCGCTCGCATTGCTGCTTCCGGTGTGTTGCTAACACCGCTCCCCCTCAGAAAAACCCGCTCCTCTTTGCTCCTTTCTTCGCCGGGTCCTAACAGGCCCGGCCGCGGCAGGGCCGGGTTCTTAGCAATCAGAATTGACGGCCTCCGATGGTGCTTTTCCAGCCGGGCGGTTAGGAGAAACACCCAGGATCAACAGATTCCTGAGCACAAGTTCTCGACGGGCCCATTTCTGAACAGGACCCAGTACGTCTTTTCCGCCTGGAGGTGCGTGAAATTTGGAGGTGCAAGAGGCCTCTTCGTTTTAGGAGCGACTAACGTGGCTTTGCCTTCTTTAGAACAGCAGCCTCGACTGTGAGGCTAACTGAAAATTTTAGGTGTGAGCACACAGAGGTGCTCTGGCACCACCCGCCTAGAGCCTGAACGACCGGATTCAAGGGCCAGTGTTGCGCAGTTATGGCGCCCAAGGGGCGTGTGTGATTGGCAGGAGCGGCGGGGCCTCGCCCCCAAGCTGTGGCGTGGCACTCCGCAGGCCTGAGGTCCCGGAGCACGTAAGGACTGTGGAGTCTGCGTCTTTGCGACCGGCAGAGGCAGTCATGGAGGCCGGTGCCTCCGCCGAGCCCGACACCATCGAAGTGCTGCCCCAGCACAAGTTCGACACCGGGTCCCTAGAGGCCTATCTAAACCAGCATTTGTCCGGCTTTGGGGCCGAGCCCGAGGCCCAACTGACCGTTGCCCAGTACAGGTATCGACGCCGGCCTTCTCCTCCAGCAGAAACACATCTGTACATTGTGCTTTTCTTTCTTTGGCCTGTGGTGGGTTCGCGGTTTCCCCCGTCTCCGCTTTTCCTGCACCGACTCACTCCGCAGGTGGGAGCTGCCGTCGGCCGTCCCCTGCATTTCATCCTGCGTATTTCCCATTCGAGGACAGTAATGGAAGCACCACACTATTCAGGATTCCAGCTATGAGAAGGAATCTTTGTTCACGGATTTAGTTCTGTACCTGGAAGATACACGGAGGCAGTTAAGGTTGGGAGCTTTGTGGAATACAAAGAGCTCTTCTCAGCTTCAGTGACCGTTACCTTTTTTTTTTTTTTTTTTTTTTGAAGCAGGTGCAATTTCCTTTTAATTGGCAATACTCTTGTGGGTTGAGTTAATGGCTATATTATCTACTACTAATAGTTAATTCTAGATCTTAAATTTAGGATGTTGACGAGGCATTTTGGGATTTAGTTCTTTTTGAAGTGAGGGAATGGAACTGGATGATAGTCCTGAGAATACTGTTCTCCACCGTGAATCTGGCTCTGGTCTGGCTTAACAGGGAGCCTGCTTGGGACTTTATGTCTCCTCTCTCTGACCCTCCTGCTCTCCCTCTTCCCCCACCCCCACACACTTGCAGGAGTACTCTCCCTCTCAAAATAAATACTAAGGGGGAAAAAAACAGAATGGGAGAATCCAAGCAAATAGTCTGGAGAGGGGTTTAATAAGTATTTTAAAGATGCGTTGAAGAGGGTGGTTATGTAACTGACCATCGAATTTAAACGAG